GCCCTCTGAGATGAACATTGGTTGATAGAACCAAAAGAGATCTATATGAATGGTTGGGCTATTGGAAAATCCGATACAGTAAGATCATATCACCTCTGATTTGACGATATTGAGACGAGTAGAGCACCAATAGCTGTAATCTTTCGCCATAGGTCTTGGAATGTAGACCTTTGACCATCTTAGTAACAATTCTCTACGGGTGTTCGAGCACCTTCCGATCTCGCTGCATCCATGGGTTCTAGGTCTGAATTGAGTAGTCAGTATATGGACGGATATATGTGACTAACAGACGTGGGAACAAAGCCGACTCAAACGATCCAAAAACACGTTTAACCAGTCCAACCTGTTTTACCGCGATGGACGATGCCCTCGAACAGTTTCTGGAGCAACTCAAGTCTGTGCGAATGAATACTCTCAGAACCATTCTCGGATGGAGCATGAGGCAGAGGTTCGTGTCCTAGAGTGTAGGAAAAACGACCATTGCATTTGGTATCGTTAATTCCATGCCATCGGAGACAGACCATCTGTGGGCTTCGTCAAGGGAATTCTGGAGATCAAATGAATCTTCTTATTTTGCTATTGTCCTCCATATTTTGGCATCGTCCGCAAACAGCAGAGTTTATGGTCCGAGGACGCCTGGAAGATCACTTATAAAGGAGAGGAAAAGACGTGGTTCTAGCACAGATCCCTGTGAGACCCCACGGTTGGCATGTATTGGATTAGAAAGTGAATCGGAAACACGAACTGGCATGGTACGTAGTCGAAGAAACTCCTCGATCCAGCTAAGTATGAGTCCACGGATTCCATAGTTATATACGTCTGCGTTTTGAGTAATTTTGTGCCTTCACGCTAGATCAACAGTATCGCTACCGGTCACCTAACTATCATTAACTTACTCGACGGAAATCAATCTGGTGACGTACTAAGTAATGTGTTTTTTATCCGTCAGAATATGTAATTACCCCGTTTTCTCCTCCCATCTTTGGCAGTGCTTATCCCATGATCCCAATGCAAGGCTTCGCACGCATTGATGCTTGGATAACGATAGTCTGCATTTCTAACCCGATATATTACATGTGCCTTATTTTCAGACGCGGTTTATGATATTCCGTGATATCGTTGAGTAACTATCTACCAGATAAGATACAGTTTTATCACGTAAAACATCTTTTGCAGGGAAAATTGGATAGAAAGTGAACTGTTTATCGGATTGGAACAGTTGCTAAACAAATTTGCCTACAAACTCCACGATTGGGTCACGTTAGACGGAAACAATTTAACAGTTGTGATCAGTATTTGTAGGAATGATGCAGAATCAGTTAATTACTGTCTACCCGCAGTAAATGACAGGAAGAAGACAACACAGTGTTTGCCAACAAGAAAACGGTTAGTTTAGAACCCCGGTGTTTAACTGCATTCACATTTCTCGAATGTCAACCAATGCGATTCACTGGCAAAAATGAATGAAAAAGCATATCGCACACTAAGATATTTCGGAAATTTTCTTCTAGTTATGACGATATGCTAAATCAATATCATATATTTGATCGGCTTGCGAACAGGCATGGCGCTAACAGGAAAACAATAATAAACGATTGGCTTGGGGTACAGAGGAAAACAGTGTGGAAAAGAAATAGTTGCAGGAAACGAAAATCCAAGAACAACAATTTTTTTGGTTTGCTTCACCGCACATTTGACTTTATTGGGTGTTCACCCCATAATAATGAATAGCGTGTCTACATCAAAACTCATTCAAACATTCGGCAATATGGTAGATCTAACGATTGAGATAATGGAATTCTGTGGTGACTAATTTCTCCGTAATTCAGAGATGAAAACATACTTGAATAATCATTACTATTCCGCTCACTGTAACGTCTTGTACGGTGTGTGGGTTGAATGGATAGAACTATCAATTAAACAATTAAACGTTGTAAACGCACAAGCAGTATTCTGCACATTTTCATCAGGAATTAAAATCGTTAAAAAAATAAAACACAAAACTGAATTGAAAATAGCTGAATCCAAATTAATAGATCTCATTTTTGCAGGGTATTATTCCGGAATTGAACTCATACTGACTACCCGAGGTAGCTCCAGTATAGGTTAACATTCGCCAGTTATGTACTTTGTTCCTAGCACTGTCTTGCCAGACTCAGTGAATTCAGTCCCAACAAACGGGAGCGAATTACATAATTGGTTGGCTAATGCGCTCATTCACTGCGGATGTGTGCAGCTGACATTTCCCCAGTCGATTTAGGACCCACTGAGGAAATCGTCATCCTAGGAAACATCCGATTTAGCCTCTAATCTAATCTGATTGTTGTAACCTCCCTTGCCTGCGATGTGGGGCTGAAAATCAATAACTTAGAGATCGAGAGCTTTCCGTAGTGCGCTTCACGGTTTACTCCTCCGATTTGTGCCAACGATGAGCCAATCGAATAAATCTATCCAGCAGGTTTTCCAGAGAGTTTTGTTTGGTTAAACAAGAGCCTTGGTTGTTTAACTAGACCGGTTGTGGAACGCCTCCATTTTCCATAAATTTTACGCACCGGTATACAATTATTGCAAACACAAAGCAAAAGCATCCTTGACCATGTGAAGATTTGTGGAACGTACACCGAAATGAGCCGTCATGCGGAAATGCATAACATCGTTAACCGATAGGAATATGGTTGACCATATTCCGGTGCCTTTAAGAATTAACGAGGAACATATTTCAGCTGGTAACATTCCCCTTGAGATTCTGTTTTCTTCTCTAAAAAAAAACAATCCATGAATTATGCTCGTGAACGTTTCTGTCAGTTCGGTCCAATGGTAGGTATTTCTGTTTATCCCCGCCGGTTATTCCCATTTGAAGCCCTCGTTGGTGATGACGATGCTGGTTGTTTAAATCAGAAAAGGAAAGATGAAAATCATGCGTGCCATCTATCATTCTCTCGAAACGTACGATTTGTTGACACATACAAAACAAGAAAGATAACAGGCATCGTTTCCGTTCTTTCTTGCCTTTTTTGCCTGTGCTTTTGACTCACTAAGTTATTTGCCCATGTTCAATCCCACAATATTCGTTTCCCGTCTATTTCTAATATGAATCTGGCCGGTACTAAGTAGGCCACTATCACACACGAACCACAGAAGCAAGATCGATTCCCGGGTTTAACTGCTGTTAGCGTGTGTTGGTAAAGTATGCGCACTTCGCTCTTTGAAAGAACCGTACCTTAGTATTTCCCATATTCATTCAACAAGACAGGCGAATGTCGGTTACACGTACGTTTTCGGTGTATCTTTAATCCATCCAGTTCTTTCATTTGTGTATTTTGTCCAAATGCTTCTGTACTATTTCAGGTGATCAATTTTTTTTCTGCCGGGTGAAAGTTTTCAATTTTCGCACTAACACGTAGAAATGATATGATTGTCTTTCTCCACTCCCACTTATGCTTTTATACTGATTACATAATTCACCTTTCTATAGTGAGGTTGTGTTCGTCTGTTCGCGTACGAAAATTGTTTCCATCCCTCTTGTTTGCACTCGCTTATTCCGTTTTATTTTATTATCTTCAATGACTGATATGAAACGTCCATTTTCAGTAGCGCTATTTACCACATCGTCTATTTCATTGTCCAGTAGATAGAGTAAAAATCCAATTTATTTCCCATTGATCTGTTGCGTAATCCGTCCGTATCTGAATGTTTGGAACAATTTAGGAAAATCATGAATTTTGTTCTCTACCAACTATTGGAATTTTCGCATTATTTTCAATCTGTTATTAGTTGTTATAATTGTTGATTTATTCACTAACTACCGAAAATCCGCATTCGTGGTGAACATTTTTTCGTCATTCCCCTCGGGTTGGAAATTTTCCTGGACTTTTCGACGCTCCCCCATTTGCTGTATATCAACACTGTTCGTGCTAGTCCATCACGAATTCAATAGGACTGTGAATAACCGAAACAGACTTTCCCTCAGTCTCTCAGGAAAGAGATATTTAAAACTGAATGAACATAACCACAGGTTCCCTGCTTGTGTGTCCCCCAACTGGACACACACTGTCAATTTGTTATGATTGCGATAAGTGCCAGTCAAGCAGTGAATGTTTTTACCATCACGATGACACAATAAATGGCTTTCTGTCGTCTAATGCCATTCCAGTTTTCATTCGGTTTCAATCTTCGTCATTGTCAGTTTCATACGGGCGAATCAGTGGTTGCAGTTCTGTCGTGTTTTTGTTTTGTGGTCATTCACATACGCCTGATTGGTTGTTTCGTACATCTATCGGAAAATTAATTAGACATTGGCTCTGATCACAATGACTGTCATTTCTAATCCCGAGTGCTGTGAGGTGAATGCAGCCACGAACTTGATCAGTGCTAGCTAGCTTGCTAGCAAACAAGCCCCGTCAAATACAAATGGGAAAACTTCAAGTTGGAGGTATTCGTTTGTCCCGTTTTCGGTTCACTCAAACCAGCAAATTATATTCTGCGTCACAGAAGCGGCGCGCAAATGCTTGTGTTCCTCAACTAGACAACCAGACCTATCACAACATGGTGTTTCTGAGTTCAAGATAAGTACTACTACCCTTTGTAAAGTGTTTGATCAGCAATATTAAGTTATTCTCCAGGCTTTTAGTTTATTTTTTTTGTCAAAGACTGTTTTTTCATGATCACTGACAATATAAATAACCCTTCATCCTTTCGTATGTATTATTATTATTTATAATTCCCCGAATTTTGTTTGTTCTTCTTGAGTGACCCTTATTGAATTAGTTGATGATATTTTGAAAATGAAAATAATAAATTAGCCTGGGTTAAAGTCATTGTTTGACAAAGCATGCTGTACTGTGCTCTGTTCGGCCCACAGTCGAACCCAGACACGTGTGAGCTCTAATGTAATGAAAAAGTGACAAATAGCTCTGAGCTTGCCTTCCTTATTGTGACTATCTTCTCTCTTCTTATCTATGTGCAGTTGCTCGTTATTATCCATATTCTTCTTTTGTAAGCAGGACTCCAGTTCCCCTTCGATTCATCCTCTTCTGGCTGTAAAAATTGGCGGTGGTCCATTGGCCGATTGTCCTGCCTGTTCACCCGCCCAAATTTGTGCCCATACTGTCTGGATACGATCCGCCACAGGTCGTCGAGCATCCTCCGGTCGTGCTCTACCTTGTGATTGTCACTGGGCTCTTCAGAGCTTGGATGTCGTGGTGCAACATGATGATGATGATGACCATAAGGCTAATGATGAGACCTATGGGGCATCAACATCGGGCACCACTGCACTTTTGGAGGCCATATCACCGAGACTCTATATTCCTTTCATGGATGAGATTCGCGTAAGTCGAAATATATTCGTGTACTGAGTTGTCGTTTGTTGTGCTCGCGGTCAGTGTCTACTTGTTCGTTGCTGAACAATTTTATTTTCCTGCATTCTAATCTTTCAATTCTGCTAAACCGTTTTCTGGACAGCAAGCATATGTAGAAAGCTAACCACCGTCTTGAAAAGTGGCAGTTTATCGGTTTATCTAACACTTAGGATTGGCAATAAAAACCACCACAAAGTACTCATCAATCTGGTTCAATGTGAAAGTAAAGTAAAAAGTAAACTGTCCAGTGTCGTTTTACTAAGAACAGCACAAGTAGCACATTTTTATCCATATTTTTCTATATTCGCTTCTCTAATTCTTCGTCTACTAATTTGAACGAATAATGGACGAGATGTAAACACTTTCGCATCCGCTCTTTCATCGGGTAACTAGCATTCCACCTTCCTTATTGTTAAAACCAAAATAAAATTACGCACGTGGTTAACGACGTTTAGGTCCGGTGAATGAGCTGGTTTTAACTACGTTCGCATTAGACCGTTTTTTAAATTAAATTTACGAACAATTCACATTCAGAAAAGAGGGCGACGTTGTCCTCGTACAAAAACAGTCATTAATTGCTGGTGTAATTCTCAGCTCTGCTCGCTCAGAATACAATAATATTTTTCACCATGGACATTCTGTTGCAACCTATTTGCATCTCTTCGTCCGTTCATCCACTTTGCATCCCCTATAAATAAAACCCCGTCATGCAGTCATGTCCAACGCACAGACGATTTCCTCTTGTTTATTTGTCAGCGCTCCTTGAATACAATTATGCCTCCTCCGGCCTAGTTGTGTGAAAGAAACGCTGTATTTCCCAATTAAGTCTGGCCTTTTTATAAGATCCGCTTCGGTGAGGTACGAGCTTCGACCGCGAAATTTCAGTTTGCAACAGAGTTTGTTTGTTGTAATCATAGTTGAGCTGATTGAACACGTCGGATATCGTAGTTGTGTAGTAAATATCAAAATTTTTGAGGTTCGTCGGGTGTTTCTTCGTAGTGGTTGTGCCACGCGGTTACCGTAGGGTGAAAGCGTATTACTGGTGACTTTTGTTTTAGCTTTAACCAAGTTTTTGAACCGCGGTACGGTGTACTTTGGCGGAGGTGTGCTATCATTGACGAAATAATTCGACACTTCTCAAAATGAAGCTAAATAACTATATTCATTTTCAGCTCGCAATTACTCATGCATCGTGGTGTGGTATACATGCTTTCGTTATGACTCAAGGACGATCTTCAGGTCACCCGGTAAAGGTTGCTCCAAAAGCTCCTGTTAGAGCCTACCACCAGTACATGTCATCGTTTCTCCCGTGCTTTGCACTATGTACCTATCGCCTGAGATACTAATTTAGATGTTTGCCACACATAATTGAGATAAAAACGATTGCTACACACGCAGACAAAGCAGTAATATTGTGTAATCGACACTAACATTATTGATAGATATCATCTCACGATCACTGGCATTACATTGAACCGATTTCTAAATTTCTTCTCCAAAAAGAAATGAATGACCCGATCGATGGGCCCTGATACGCCTTGGGGACTTGAGTAAAATGGAATTTCAATATTTCATGTGCATCTTAAACACGCGCGCACACCTACGTTGTTGATCATTCATCCGGTACGTTATGTTCATCGGTACGATACCCGGAGACCGGAACTTATCGATCGGCGTGCTGAATCGTCTTGCCTAAATAATAAACTTTTTGCGTTTGAGTCTTTTGTGGCTCGATGCACCACTTCTGGCAGGAGCGTTGCACAATACGACACGAGTGTAGCGGTTGCATACCTACTGGGTGTAGCACCACAAGTGTCCGGTGAACATTTCACCCGCTAACCCTGTTATAATCGTCAACCGGAACTTGGCATATAATAGTGTGATTGAACTAACCTTAATCTTTAATTTTATGCGACTCTCTCGCCGGAGGGTAAGTCAGCTTCACAGACGATAGCTGCCTATTGATAACGATTAAAGGCGAGTTCTGGGCGAACGGTGATTCAGTCTTAACGTCAACAGCGTGTACTGTAGACCCGATTAGATCACCGCAGTTCAACTGTCGAACGTTTCCGGTCTTCTTCTCAAAGGAGTCATGATTTGCAGCCCTACGTGGTCACTGGGTGAATGGAGATCTGAACGACTCGCAATTTATCTGGAAGATTATTTCTCCTCCTATCTAAATCATCTTGAGGGATACACCGCTGGTGTGGTTGTTGCGGACAGATATGTCGCTTTGGGCAAGATCAGTTGGTAGAATCGCCGAGTTGAGGCACTTAATTGGCTAGACATGTTAGATGGTTACTTCACTGGTTGTCAGCTGTTGAGTTCGATCAGGTTCAAAGAAGTAACGAACAACTTTTTCTTTGGGGTATGGACTTCTAGACAAGTAATCTATGCAGTCGAGCACTGGAAACAATTCTTTGGTACATCGCAACAAAAGATATGTGATATGCATATTCTAAGTTGGAGATCCACATGTCCGAGCCTAATGGAGTATCGGAGAAGACAGCTAACGAATGCCTCTCGAAACGTTCTATCGTATAGTTGAACAACTCGATAGATAAAGGGCGTCCTTGCTTCATCTGAATTTTATGATTGTTCCGATGATCCTTCACCTTACACTCGCACGCTAGCCTATGACGAGGAATAGTAGGCCCTTATGATATTTCCGAGTGTTGTTTAAATTGCATCGTTTTCGTTCGTTTTCCATATGGATTCTCCGTCGATCAAGGCGAATGCGCAACGAGATTCGATGAACAGGACGACAGTCAGGTGTCGAATGTTAGATCGGAGTTGAAAAACTTCTCGGATAGTAAAGTCCTCACCGTTTTCCACGAATACCCCCTCCCTCCCGTGGAATTAATCTGGTGGTATCATCTTTTTCCATTGTAAAACTGTTCCACTGAATCGCAGAGAAAACTTCAGTTGTCAAATAAGCAGTCGCGAACACAGCGGCGGTACTACCAGGGTGTGGTGAGTTTCAGGCCGGTCATCTGGCTCCTGTTTAAAAGCCGCATAAGCCCAATGACGGTGTCGTGACAAAGGTCGATGTGACGGGCTTTTTAAAACTAAAGTCAACAACCTCCTCAATTCTGAGGCGAGGGATTACTTGCTGCTGCCTTGCAGTTCGCAGGCTAGAGGTGTGCCCTCGAAATAAAAAACGCCGAGTGACGCTGGGGACGTCTCTCGTACCAAATTCCCACGAAACTTCATGATCATGTCTGCAGCCGGTTTATCCTTTTCAGGGAGCCAGCCGCATAATAGTGATATACTGTAAACAAGCTGATTCGTCATTTTTTATTTACAATTCATTTGGTTCGAAGTTCTTGATGCTAAACACTTATTTCTGAAAATATTTCCAAACCTATATCAATTCCTCACCAATGGTCCATAGCATACTCTTTTTTCTTCACCGCATCCAATGGATTAATAATCCCTGTGGCGTATTTCCTCCTCCTTATTCTACCCGTATCGGCTATCAAGTTAAGATCTTAGAACCTGAAACATTTCCTGGTAGAGTAGTTTTCTTATCAGGTTTGAATGTCGGTTGTTCACGACCAACTCTTATCGTTAAATTATTGGGATAGACCTTAACTCACTCGCTTCGCAAAAGAGTCTCTCTCTTTCATATATATATATATATATATATATATATATATATATATAT